TGGAACTCAAAAGAACAATGATGAATATGATAAAAGAATTCAGTGAATTTAAAGAACACACAAACAAGGTAATCATAGAGCTGAAGGAAGATAGGGATAAACTTCTGGATGAATTCAGAAAAGAGCTAGAAATATTGAAGAACACTCAGGCTGAAATAAAGAATGAAGTGAAACATTCCAAAAGCCAATTAGAAACGACAGGAGAAAGCCTCACCAATAGGATGAATGAAATGGAAAAGAGAGTATCAATACTGGAAGATAAAGTGGACGAACTAGAGCACTCAAGCAAAGACTATGAAAAATTTAAGGAATCACAAGAATGGAATATGCAGGAATTGTGTGACACCATAAAAAGACCAAACTTATGAATCATAGGCATTCAGGAAGGAGAAGAATCCCAAGATAATGGCATGGACCAGATCTTCAACAGAATCGTGGAAGAAAATTTCCCAAAATTAAAGAAAGACATGTCCATACAAATACAAGAAGCATACAGAACACCAAACAGACAGGACCAGAAAAGAAATTCTCCACGGCACATCATAGTAAAACACTAAACGTACAAAACAAAAAGACAATACTGAAAGCTGAAAAAGAGAAAAAAAGTCACATATAAAGGAAAATCCATTAGGATTACAGCTGACTTTTCAGTGCAAACTAGGAAAGCCAGAAGAGCCTAGACCAAAGCATTCCCAGTTTTACATGACGAGAGATGCCAACCCAGATTACTATATTCAGCCAAAATGTCTATTATAGTTGAAGGGGAAAGGAAAATTTTTCATGGCATAGATAGGCTGAAGGAATTCATGTCCACAAAACCAACCCTTCACAGAGTTCAAGAAACAATACAAAGAGCTGAAGAAAGGAATGACTATACTCAAGGGGTTGTGGAAAGAAAGTCAATGAAGGCATAACTGTGGAAAAGTACAGCTATATCACGAATGTAAATAGAAATAAAAATGACAGGATTCAATACTCATTTTTCATTAATAACTTTAACCATTAATGGACTGAACTCCGCAGTCAAAAGACAGAGACTAGGTGAATAGATTAAGAAACAAAACCCATCTTTTTGTTGTCTGCAAGAAACTCATCTCATTTCAAGGACAGGCACTATCTTAAAGTGAAAGGATGGAAAAAAATATACCAAGAAAATGTTACTAAGAAAAAAGTAGGTGTAGCAATTCTAACATCTGACAAAATAGACTTTAAACTAAAACTAATCAGAAGAGATAAAGAGGGCCACTTCATTCT